TAGCCCATTGGCGCAACGGTTTGGACATTAGAATCTGATGAGGAAAGTCGCGAGTTCGAGACTGGGGGTGAACCACTTGGGGCTGAGTATAACTGACTGACGACGGTTAATAAGACGGAAGCGGCCATCCCAGTCTCCCTTGTCTTGGTCGGCAATACTATCTGCCTAGACTACTAGCCACTGTGTTACTGTTATCAGAGCCCGAGAATGAGACGCAAAGTAGAGCGGGACGAGTGAGTTCCGTTAGCGATCGATGAACTTTCCTCAACACGAGAAAAGGTATCGACCCACCTCAACCAGTTTTTGACCTGCGTTTGCCTCATTTGTGGCCACTGCACCCGTGTGGTCGCCCTGCGAGATGTTAGGGCTACTCCGCTGGTGAGGGGGGGATTAATCCCCCTGATTGCAAGCGTGGTCCCTATCGCGTCCTTAATTGCCAGTGCCTTGGAATTGCAGCCACTGGAGTCTTATCCATTAGAACGCTGTAAGTGAGCGTCTTGCTGCACAGTGTGGCTATTCGGTTCACACTCCGTCTGCCTCCTATCTTTCAACTTAGACTCCCAAAATTTTCATAGACGCCGGGCCCATAGTGCTCGAATTCACGCCTAGAAACATGGCGACCTCAGTCTTTTGATGAGAGACTTTTTATTTGGAGCAGTCTCGAGAACATGGCCAATGACTGATAGTCGACCTACGCCATCCATTCCGTGGATAGTCGACGCAAGAGTTTGGATGCGGTGCTCTCACAAATTTCAATCTGATGGAATAGCAAACCAACTGTGCGGGATTCGACTGCACGGACTACAGGATACGGATTTTCGGTACCAAACTGTAAAACGTGCGTATTCGTAGCGTTGTCCGCTTCTATGGTGCGCTAGGAAATTTTTGGAAGATTGACCGAGCCCTTCAGTGTTAGGCAGACTCAGGGTTTGGCTGCTGGACTCGACATTTTCACCAGATTCCTATTCTGAAAGTCTGCGAGCCAGGACGTGGACGCCTTGAAAGTACCAGCGGTAAGGACTACTTATATGGCCTCTTACACGGGACGTAAGAACGGCAACGTCCCATTCAAGTGATAAAAGTAGTTTTGGCAACATATCCATGAAGGACGAATATCCCGATGTTCAAACCATAACATAAACAATACAACGTTATTAATCCTCACTTTACCCTAAACACTGACCCTGTTTTTAGGCCTAAGCTTAACTCTACCCTTATCTTAATTTTGCACAAAGCCCCTTTTGGTACGTATTCTCACGTTCTGATTGGAAGCCGGATATAAGTAATCCCTACCAGGCAACGGTCTGTCAAGTACGTTCGAGTTCCTTTGGTGTATATAGGGGGATCTAAGTTCCCTGTACCTGGGCCATTTGCGTTTATGCCCATCTACCATCCTACGCAGTATGCACAATTACTGTTGTCTGTTGCTTCCTCTAGACTCACGGTGTTGTAGTAGCGGATGGCTGCAGATTGTGCTGAGTGTCTTCCTAACCACAGCCACTTCAGAACTCGACGCCCACTCGTCCTAAATAAGTCCACTTTTATGCCCCACACCAAGCCCATATTTTGTCAGTAGTACTATCAAGTACCTTCATCTTTCTGAACCTCTCCTTTCCCGCCGCGAGGACACCTCTCTTAAATTTTCGTGCTTTGCTTTTGCAGCGGTACGAGACGCCAAAACTGCAGACGAAGCCCTCTGAATCAATTAGTTGGCTGAATGCAGAAGGTGTGGCCGGTCTAATGAGTGAGCAGGACTCCAATCTGGCTGCCAATTCCGCCGCTGCCGGCAACCTCTACGCCGTCAGTGCCGCCAACAACCTGCTTGCCTCCGACAGTAAGCTTAGTCTCCTCGGCGCAAACGTCGTCTCCGGCTCGACAAAGCGCGCCTGTATCACTGCCTACAGTG